GGCACACAGAGCTAAAGGTAGGTAGTGAAACTGATATTCTAATCCAAGGAGTCTGCCCCAGAGTCCATGTTCTTAAACACAATGTCAGACTGCCCTCAGAGGCCTGAAAATTAGAGTGGAAAGTCTACTTTGTCAGTACTTTTAGCACAAGGTCTTCAAACCCAGCTGCACACACAACCCCAGCTAAGTAATGTTAACAAGTGTAGCAGGACTCCTGGGGAATGGGTCACTTGGAGAGTCCCCGCCCATCAAGAGGGACAGTTCTTCTCAGTGCCACCTAGTTGTTGCCATCTGGAAATGCAAACCTTACAATAAATAGAAACAAGGGAGAAATCTGGATTTGTATGAAAGATCTCTTCAATTCAAAAGAAAAAGAAGGAAAAGAAAGGGAAGGGAATAGGGAAAGAGCTCCATCACTGTGGAAAACAGTGTGGCGATTCCTCAAAGACCTAAAAAGAGAACTACTATTCAACCCAGCAATTCCATTATTGTGTCTATTCCAAAGGATTATAAATCATTCTGTCGTAAAGACACATGCATGTGGATGTTCATTGCAGCACTATTCACAATAGCAAAGACATGGAATCAACCTAAATGCCCAACAATGATAGACTGGATAAAGAAAATGTGATACATATACACTATGGAATACTATGCAGCCATAAAAAAAGAATGAGATCATGTCTTTTGCAGAAACATGGATGGAGCTGGAGGCCATTATCCTTAGCAAACTAATGCAGGAACAGAAAATCAAATACTGCATGTTCTCACTTTTCAGTGGGAGCTAAATGATGAGAACACATGAACATATACAGGAGAACAACAGACACTAGGGCCTATCAGAGGGTGGAGAGTGGGAGGAGGGAGAGGATCAGAAAAAACTAACTAATGAGTACTAGGCTTAATATCTGGGTGATGAAGTAATCTGTGCAGCAAACCCCTGTGACATGCGTTTACCCATATAACAGACCTACACATTTACCCCTGAACTTAAAAAGAAGTTTAAAAAAAGAGAAAGAAGGAAAAAGAAAGGGAAGGGGAAGGGGAAAGGAAGGAGGAAGAGAAAAACATGCAGCACACACACTCCACACACACACACACACACACACACACACACACACACACAGATGCAACACACCCTTCTGTAGAAGGGACTCATTCAGTCTGGGAGCCATCTGTTTGCATCTTATTTTTAGTCCAAGTTATTAAATCTTACCATAATGGACTCTGGTTGATGATAAAGACACATACTCCCCACTCTAAACCAACAAGTAGTTATACTTTTTAAATGTCCGATTTGTCTTGTCTGACCTACTGGAGCCCATAGATTTCTGCCATTCAGTGAGGGAGGGAAGGAGGGTTGGTTCAGAGCTTGGGGGAGTCTCTTCTGGGCTCGGGGAGATGCTGTGACAATTCCATTAGCAGACAGATTGGAGAGTAGTATTGATTTGTTATCTATGCATAAATACAGAGATTTCGAGTGCCAGGTGTTAGCCAAGCAATTTGGGCTTTTCTTCTTGATCTTCAACTGATGGACAATTAAACCTCTATTAGCAAAGCAAATGAAATAAAACACTTTCAAAGTTAAACTAACAGTTAGCTGTGTGTTGGAAATGGAAGTGAACACAATGGACTTCTGAGAGTTTTGTGAAGTCATCTTCATCTAAATCTTTTAACTTTCAGTTGCTGAACTTTGAGCTGCTCGTGTTTTATAGTCCTCTTTGGCGAACAAGCTTCCTTGACACCAGCCTTACAACACAGGAGATATTCTGTGTCCCTGGCTTTATGAGACCTTCCAACTTTTCATAGCAGGTGTTCAGTGTTCTTGGTTTTAGTTATCTAAACGTGGATTACAGATACATAAAGTTTAATAAGTAAGATAACACCATTTTCTCACTTCCAAAAGCACTCTTTTACATTGTGTTTTTATTAACATTTCATGCCATGGATCAAATTTTCCTGTAAGTTTGACATTTGGCAGAGCTGCAATAATGGCCATTTTGGAGGGTAACAGGATCAATTAACAACTTTTTATACACAAGACCCTGCACTGTGTCCTGTAGAGTCAACAGAAAAGAATCAAAAGGCTTCTTTCTTTTCCTTCTGGGGCTTGCCGTGTTTTTGGAAAAATGAGGCATTTATGTAAGTAACAATGGAGCAAAAACAGTGCATAAAAAGAACAATGCAAAGGACACAGATGACCAACTAACCTGGAGGAGTTCTTTTTTAAGAAAAGAGAGACTTCATAACTTGGAAGTCTTTAGAGGGCTTCAGAAAAAAAATGGGATTTAAGTGGGGCCTTGAAGAATGGGTAGGTTTTTTGAGGATGAGGAGGGCAGACAGTGGGAGGAAAAGTATAAAAAACGCAAATGCAAAAGAGAGTGAAAGACTGGCTGAAGCAGGGCAAATGATTTTGCAACAGAATACTGGGGTAAGGAAGAAATAGAAGAGAAACCTAGAGAAATGGTTTGAGCAGAAAGCAGGTAAGACCAGGGATGGGAAAATATTCAACCTATTCATATAAAGAATGAAGTTAGAAGGAAGAACTTGTGTAGAGGAGAAAATACATTCTATTTATTGTTAGATCTTATGTGATAATAGGTCTGCTGGATTACATTGAGCTAAAAGATAAAATTATGTATTTTCAAAATCTGGGCCCAGCCGGATTTGATTTTGCCTTATTTTGACACTTTGTAGCCTGAGTGAAGATCATACAGTTTGATATATTATTCATCATGTGCAAAGAAGTAGAATCCGTGAATTTTGGAGCTAGAACAATCCTCAGAAATCATTTAATTCATTTTGCCAGTGAGTCAATTTGGGGTTCAGAAAGATGAAGTGATTAGCCTGAGGTAACATGACTTATTAATGATAAATGTTAAAACAGAGTCATCCACTAATTTCTGAGCCATTGCTTTATCCACATGACCTAGTGTATAGTTACCTTTCTAAAAAATGCTTATAGGCCAGGTCTATGGGCTTACACCTATAAGCCTAGCACTTTCAGAGGCTGAGGCAGGAGGATCACTTGAGTCCGGGAGTTGAAGACTACCCTGGGCAACATGGAGAGACCCTGTCTCTACAAAAAAATTAAAAATTAGTTGAGCATTGTGGCATTCACCTGTAGTCCCAGCTACTTGGGAGGCCGAGGTGGGAAGATAGCTTGAGCCTGGGAGGTCGAGGCTGCAGTGAGCCATGACTGCATCCCTGAACTCCAGCCTAGGTGACAGAGCAAGACTCTGTCTCAAAAAAAGTTTATACATAAACACACACATATAATTTTACATAATCATATGCCCTAAATCATTTCAGATTTTTTAAATTCAGCATTTCTCCACCTTTGGGTACTTTCATCTCCCCTCTCTGTCCCCAGCTTATCACTCCCCCTCTATTTAATAAAACCTAGTATGTCTCATTCCAAATGTTTTTAGAATTTATGTCATCATACGCAAACATGTCTCTGTGTGTGCCTGTTTGTGTGCACACATATGCAGTGTTTTAGGTCATTGTTTTACAAAAATGAGAATGTATATGCCGTTTTCTGGACCTTGTTTTTCTCATTCAGTCATACCTTGAGGAAATCTCTTCCATGTGAAAAGTTATAGCTGAATATTTACTTTACTGGTTGCCTAATACTCTGTAGTAGAAATATGTCATGACTTATCCTATCATTCTCCCTATTTATAAAGACCAGTCTGCTTTTATTCTATAAATAGTACCTCAGGAAACGTCCCCATATTCATATATGTTGGTGTTTTTATTTCTGTTGATAGAGTTGGTATCATTGAGTCAAGGAAATGTGTATTTTTAGTTTTAAAAGTTAAACTGCCTCCATAAGAAAGCTGTAACAATACATATTTATTTGCACCTACAATTAATAAAAACACTTCCTTTTGCTAGGTCTCCCTAGGGCTTACTATTAAAAGTCTATTTTTTTTAAAGTTTTTGCTGATGCAACTTGTGTGAAGTAAAATTGCATTGTTACTTTATTCGCATTATTTGACTACAGATGAATTTGATCGTCTTTTCATAAGCTTGATGGTTATTTAAATTTCGTATCTTGTAAACTATGTTCTTATATTTGTTATCCATTTTTTCAATGGATTATTTGGTCTCCTTGTAAATGTTAGAGAGCTCCTGCTATATTATAGGTATTTTTGCCTGCCCTCTAGGGCTATACACTTTTTATTTCCCCCAAACATCTTGTATTTTTTATGGCATCTTTTGTCATGCCATAAAATTCAGGTTTTGAATATTATTTAGTCACCTATGTTTATGTTTTCTCCTACAGTGTGTCTACCTTCTCAGAAAAAGCCTAGCTCACCTGTCTCTAGATTACATTTATGATTCCTAGGTTTTCTTATATGAGTTTATTTATTTATTTTATATTTTAACCTTTAATCCACTGCATCCATCTAGGATTTATTTTTGGAATTGGTATAATATAAAGATCTACTTTTCTTTTCTTCCAGATGAATAAGCAGTTTGCCAGCTCCTTCTATGAAATAGCTCAGCCTTTCACCACCAAATTGTAATGCCTCTTTTGTCATAGATTAAGTCCCCATTTGTATTTGGATCTGTCCCTAGATTTCCTATTTCACATATCTGTTTATGCCTATTTCAATACTTACTTAACGATTTAATTAGAGTGGCTTTACAGGATTTTCTGATATCTGCTAAATCAGATCACACCAGTAACTTCTGAGGTAGTTAGCAAACTTTGGTAGATACAAGAAAAACCTATTTGCTAGACATTAGCGGGATGCAAGCAGAAACTAATATATCCGAATAACATTTTTGTAATTATACTTTTTTTCAAAACCTTTTTCTCGTCTATTTTTATTTATTTTTTTCTTCTCCCTCCCCACAAGGCCTATTTTTATATCAACAAATATAGGAAGAAAAGTTTTTAATGTGCTCTTATAAAAATGACAGTTTGGTTTATTTTTCAATCCTTAAGCGACGTAGTGTATTAATGATGCTGTTTCCTTGATTCACAGACTGGTTCTTCAGAGGAATCATCCCTGACTGTGTCATCACTCTGAGCTCTGACTGCACTCCCCCTCCCCTACCAGTGGGAACACTACCCAAGAGAGAGCTCTGGAGTGCTCCTGACGAGAAATTCCATGGGGACTGTACCTGACCCTCTCAGATCAGCTAAAACTTCCCTGATTGCAGCTTCCGGAAAAGAAGAGGATCTAGGAGAGCCACAGGCTGCCTCACCTCGGCATCGACCAGCTCTCCTGTGTAAGAATGCCAATGGCTTTTCAGGTGCCCCTGCAGAGCCAGACCTCAGCCCCAGGGCAGCTGCCGAAGCCCTGATGCAGGCTTGTGAGCATGAGACCACCCAGCCAGGTATGTCTTCTCCTGGTGTCTTCAATGAAGCGGAGAAAGCACCTGCCACATTCAACTCTCCCGGCAATTCCCAGCTGCCAGGGAGCAGCCAGCCTGCAGCGCCAGCCCCGAGTTCTGCAGCAGGAAGGGATCTTATACACACACCATTGACAATGCCTGCCAATCAGTACACCCGCCAGTCCATCCCAGGTGATCAGCCCAATGCCATCACCTCATCCGCACCTGAAGATTCCCTGAGGAGATCACAGAGAACCTCAAATAAAGAGCAACCTGAGAAACCAAGTTGTCCTGTGGGAGACATCCTCAGTAACAGCAAAGATCAGGTGTCCTGTGAGTTTCCTTCCCCAGAAACAATCCAGGGAACAGTGCAGACTCCAGTGACAGCAGCCAGGGTGGTCAGTCACTCATCCTCTCCTGTAGGTGGACCTGAAGGGGAAAGGCAGGGAGCCATCTGTGACTCTGAAATGAGGTCCTGCAAACCTCTAACTAGAGAACCTGGATGTTCAGAGAACAAGCAGCCCTCTGTCACTGCCTCGGGCCCCCAGGGCACAACTTCTGTGACACCTCAACCAGCCCCTCTCACTAGCGAACCTTCGGCATGTCCCCCAGGTCCAGAGAAGGTGCTGCTACCAGTACAGCATCCGATGTCAAGGTTCAAAGAAGCCAGTACGATGACCAGCCAAGCTGAAGGTGAAATCAAGGAAGTTCCCAGCAGGGCTTGGCAAGATGCGGAGGTGCAGGCAGTGGCGAGTGTGGAGAGCAGATCTGTCTCCACCAGTCCCAGTATCCTCACTGCATTTCTGAAGGAAAGCCCTGCTCCTGAGCATTTCGAACAAGAGCAGCTGCGTGTCATTTGCCACAGCAGTGGGAGCCACACACTGGAGCTCTCTGACGGCACGCTAGCCCCCCAGGAGTCCAGCCAGTGCCCTGGCATCATGCCACAGGTGCACATTCAGGCAGCTGCAGCTGTGCCCACTGCTTTCCAAAGGGAAAATAAACTAGTGAGCCTACCAGGTGGGGTCCTTAAAACCTCGTCAATCAATTTGGCCTCCAGTAATGCCCAGCATCTGTGTAAAGAAGATGGGAGGTTAGCAGGAATGACTCCAGCAGGGGAAGAATCAACTGCTAAAAAGCTCGCAGGTACTAATTCTAGCTCCCTGAAAGCTACCGCCATTGACCAGATTTCTATCAGTGCATGCAGTCAAGCTGAAACAAGTTGTGGATTGGGGAAATCTGAAACCAGGCCATCTGAGTTTGCAGAGAAAACCACAAACGGCCACAAAACAGACCCAGGTTGCAAACTATCTGACTCTTGTGGCTCTATCAGCAAAGCTGACCATTCTGGGAGCTTGGATCCCACTAACAAAGAAGATGCAAGGGAAAAGAAGCCTGCCTCTCCTCAGGTAGTAAAAGAAAAAGAGTCTGCTGGCACTGATACCTCCGATACCAAAACCCTACTGCTCAATCCTAAATCTCAAGAAAGTGGAGGCACAGAATCAGCTGCTAATCCTACACCCTCCCCAATTAGGAAGAACCAGGAGAGCACCTTAGAAGAAAGCAGACAGACCAAGACAGCCACCAGCCTGAGCCTGCCATCTGATCCCATGGGTGACTCCAGCCCAGGTTCTGGCAAGAAGACCCCATCTCGCTCGGTCAAAGCCAGCCCACGCAGGCCCAGCCGCGTCAGCGAGTTCCTCAAGGAGCAAAAGTTAAATGTGACAGCAGCTGCTGCTCAGGTAGGACTCGCTCCGGGAGATAAGAAAAAGCAGCTCGGTGCAGACTCCAAGCTCCAGCTGAAACAGTCCAAGCGTGTCAGGGACGTCGTGTGGGATGAGCAGGGAATGACCTGGGAAGTGTATGGTGCGTCCTTGGACGCAGAGTCTCTGGGAATTGCGATCCAGAACCATTTACAAAGACAAATCAGGGAACATGAGAAATTAGTCAAAACTCAAAATAGCCAGACCCGGAGATCCATTTCCTCAGATTCTTCTTCAAATAAGAAGCTCAAAGGAAGGCAGCACAGTGTTTTCCAGTCCATGCTGCAGAACTTCCGACGCCCCAACTGCTGCGTCCGCCCTGCCCCTTCTTCTGTGTTAGATTGAAAGGGAGTATTTATGGGAGTTTGTGTATAAATTTACGGTATTCACATGTGTCCCTCTATGTTAAAGCTTGCTTAGTTTTTTGCTGCAAGACTAGGAAGAAAAAGCAAGTATTCGCTATAGGAAATTGCTATTAAAAATTGTTAGATCCTTTGACCTGGAGCTCTATAAACAAAAATATCATTTCAGTTTGAAAGAAGGAACAAGAGAAGAGAAACAAGCTTCGCTGAAGGTTTGCAACCTTAATAAATTGAAAATAATACTCACTGGGTTTTAAAAAATATGATGTTGTTTGTAGAAATAGCATTATTATTATATCATTATACATGTATTATTTTGTATTACTGCCTCAATTTAGCACACAATAGTATTCCCATTAAAATCCCTGCTTCATATTGAAAGTAGCAAAAACACTATTGGCAAAAACATTGTTATAATTTCTAGTCCTATTGCAGTAAGAGTGCTGTAATCACACAAATTTTAAATAGGTGATAAGAACCGGAATGAAAAAAAAAATGAGAACAAATTTGACTCATTCCTAGGCCAGACAACATTAAATAAAAGCAGTTAAATGTGTAAAATATGAAATCTGAATTGATGTTTGTAAACATCTGCAGACAATTCTTTTTATAAACCTTCTTAAGGCTGTTAATAAATATAAGAAAGTTATATTAGGAACATTAGCTAAGCTTTTGACTATGAAAACTGCCTACATTAAACATGGATTTATATAGACACATTTTCTTGCACTGAAGGGGCAAGGCGCCTCTCTGTGATTCTGACCAGACATATTCATATTTTCTTACCCTAGAGGAAGTACATGGGACTGAATTCTTAAAAAGCGTCATCAAATTAGGGATAATACTAAATTGATATTGTGCAGGTGTTCTCCATTCTACTGAGAATGCTAAGGTTCTGGTAAGGAACTATAAATAGCAGATTACCAAACACTGCTTTTTCTGTGATGATAAAAGCCTCATAAGTAACAAAAACAATGTTTAATTTAGACTCCTGTAAACAGGATGCAATTTGTGATTTTTTTTTAATTGGGTTCAGTAACTTCCAGTAACAAATGTGATCAACACCAAATTAGAGTGTGAGCTTCTTTACAATTTTTGTACATAGACTACTATCATCTAATTGCTTAAGTGTATACTCTGGAGTAAAAGGGTAACTTCTGCAAACTTACTGATTTTAAGAGAAATACCCATAATATCCTTCAAACCCAATGAAAGAAGAGGCCTTTACGAAAACATGGCTTGTGATTTGGGTGGATTATACTTCCTGGGACCTTGGCCCTACCGTGTCTCCAAAAGAGATGCATGTCCCAAGACACATGCGTGTCCTCCAAGGCACTGGCCTGGATGAGCAGCATTGGCTTGAGAACTGGAGTAGTGTGGAAAGGAAAAATGAACAACGGCCCTGGGAAGGCTTCCCTTCTGCAGACATTGTTGGGGGAGTGCTGGTCTCCATTTTGCATTTAGAAAACCAGACTTAGATGCTGGAGGGGCACCGGTTGCCCTCTTTGAACTCATTCCCCGGAATGAGCTAGAAAAGAGTATCTAACCATAGGTATTCTCTCTAGAGACTCATGTGTCCCGTGGGTACAGTCAATTCACAGTATCTGTTCTGGCTTTTTTCACTTTAATTCTGTTTTGCACATTCTGAACATATGCAGGAAAAAAATCATTCCTGAACTTTAACAGCACAACCTACACTCGGCACAACCTAAAAAGCCTTTGATTTATTCTGAAGCAGTTTAACTGTAGACAAAGCTTGCATACGTGGACCAGTATTCCTCAGAGCCTGAGAGTTGTTACAGTTGTTATATTTGGAAATTAGAAGGAATTTTTTAATAAGGCACATTTTTCAGTTTCTTACCCATTGGTGTCTATTAACAATACTATGTAATGCGAAATTTCCATCAAATTACCAAGCAAATTACTATTAATGATTAGAGATTCAGCCTAAAACTCTCTCTTTGGGCCTTAAATACCCATTTGTAGTTGTGTTCGTGTCACTTCTGTCTCAGATGCCTCTGCCAGGACATAATCTCTCTGCTAGTTCTCGCTAGCTGGCTTCTCCCTCCCACATGGGCATACATGCTGTGTATACACAGAGTACAGCCTGTGTACACAGTAGCAGCTGTCAACAGTGCCTACTCCAGATGGGTGGCCCCAGGTAATCCTCTGCTGTGAAGTGGCTAGAACAGGCTGTCCCTGCATTAAAATAGGCGAGAATAAGGAATTTCGCGTCTGGTAATAATATTTATTTTCATGACTTTAGAGTAACCACATGATTTGTAAACAGTTAAATGAAGCAGAGGCCTGAGAGAGTTGTAGGCATTTGTCTCACATTAAATACATTAAAATTGCTAGCTTTGCTATTGTGGTTATGCCTCTCAAAACTTTAAGAAAATTTGTTTAATGTGCTAAGTTTAACTGGTTTTCTTCGGTGCTGGAACCAAATTATTCACTTGCACAACACTCAAGAGATTGTCACAAAATATTACAAAAATATTGTTTGTTTTGTTGCTCATTAAGTCCTATGGAACTAACAGCTTTTAAGGACAATAACAGAAATATATCTTCAGATGGATAAATAAGATAGGAACCTACTCAAGACAGCAGCATTTTTATATTGTGATACCTCCCCTAAGTTACTCTCACAATAAAACCATTTAGTATACCTTATTTATAAAACCTAAGGTTCATTCAACAGATGAAGTTGCAAAACAGTTTTCATGGCAGACTCTTTGAACTTGCTCAGTTTTTTCCTTACTTTACCTGCATGACACACATTGGGTTGAAAGTTGTCTGGTTTTACCCTTCATTTCTCTTAGATATGATTTGGTTCTTTTTCATGCATTCTGTTGTGAAATATATGGAGGAAATATTTTATTGAATCAAGAAATAGAAAATATTCCTTAAACCAGTAGTAAAAAGATGAGTTAGAACTCCATGTCTGGAAGACAATTCAACATTTAAAATATTAAGATGCTCTGCCACTTAACAAGTGAATACTAAAATTTTTAATTTAAAGATTGATTGCTCTATTTTTATGACCATGAGAAAAATGTGGCAGCTTTAGCTGTCATTTGTTTATCTTGAATGCTTTTCTAATTATGTATTTCTGGATGATTGATTTCGAATGCCACAGACCAACTACTTTACATAGAGTAAAATATTGATTAACCTTTGTGCTTTGGGTCACTGGCAAAAGTTGAACGGATTGATAAGTCAAGGTTAACCAGAAACCTTTTTGTTCACGTCTGAAATGAAATATTTATAAAATGTGTTAGTATGTTTCCTGCCTTGATAAGTTCATCTATATTGAATGTAATTTGATCTTTGATGATTTTTTTAATCTTGAGAATTCTCTGATACTGTTTTGATTACCAGTGTTCACCGTGTTATACAGTTAAACATAAAAATTGAAATAAATTGAACTAAATATGCATGTGTAACATATACCTTAGAGGCTGGATTTCAGAACCAAATTCATAATAGGAGCTTACTGTCTTAAAGTAGAAAGCAGAAGAGGAAAATAGCGTTTGTTTGTATTATAGCGTATTGAGGTTTCACTGTTCCTAGCTCATACTAATGTTTTTCCTCTCATTTCTGGGAATGCCTGTCATTCTGGGAGTCCCTATATATAGCATACCAAGAACAGAGTAAGATGTTACTTTAAAATGTGTTTACAGAGGATATGTGCAAGTGTGCTGTTAATATAAATTGTTTGGCCTTTTCTGCATCCACTTTGTTACTGTTTTGCTGCCAAAATGTGAGAAATGTGTGTCTTCTCTTCCTCCTACATATTGTGCCAAGTGTTTAAAATTTTGTCTACTCCTAGTAACACATAATTCACCACATCCCTTGTCTACTTTTATGAATCAGTATAAAGAAAAACAATGCATTAGGATAAGGTTTGCATATATGTATATGTGTTTTTATTGAAAACTGGGCACTTGTAGCCTTGTGTAGCCCTCTCCCTGCCTGATTTACTAATTATCTGTAATGCTGCCATGGAGATGATGCTGTTTACTCTCTCCTGCTTTGTTCTAAGTGGTGTTTGAGAAATGAGGCCTGTGAATTTCCCTTTGTGATAGAACAGTGAACTCAGCAGTATCTTGGATAAGTGAGCCGACTACCTTATTCCCACACTGCTTTTGTCTACATGGTGAAATCAGAAGTCAAACATCCTCTTCAGTGTTTGTTATTTTACATATGTATCTGAGCATTTTGTTTTCTGTTAGCGATGCTTCTTGATGTTGTGCGTGGCCCTTTTTGGTTGATTCTCTCCAAATTCGGGTCAGCTGCTGCCACCTGGCAAATAACAGGGGATATGCTGAATCTCCTGTCCATCCTTGTAACAATATCCTTCTTAATGAAATTCTTCAACTGGCTGAGCAATTGCAAATGTCATCTGTCCAGATACATGGGCTTAAGGATGTCTACAAAACTTGAGACATTTTTGCAAATGGGAAAAAATAGTCTTGTAAATACTGAAACAGATTTCCATGAACTTTATCCTACTCTTGGAAAGAAAACAATTCTCCTTGGCTGCAGAAATCAAATAAGCTGGGTTTGCAATGTCCAAGGACATAAATGAAGATGGATTGAAGTGGAAAAATTCTGTCTCCCAAGTGATCAGTGACATCTGCCAGAGGTCATTACAGCTACTTTTAACTGTGAACAGTCACCAGCTAAACTACTCACTTGCCACAACCAAATAACCTCTCTCAAAGTAAATCCAGTACATCTGTATATATGTGTAGAAAGCAGCAACAAACAATCCTGAAACATTACGTTTGGCTGTTAGGCAAGTAAAAGTGATGATAATTATAAACAACATTCAAATAACCATGGACCTTGGTGAAATGACTTGTAGTGGCCAGAATGGTGCAACAAGATGTTATTTACAAGTTTTTTTTAAGACACAAATATCTCAGATACTAATAATGAGAATAAAGACTGTTGAATATGAAATTAAAGTCAAGCAATAATGTGCCAAAAAGAGGCAGTTATACCAGCAAATGCATCTATTATGGGCACACCATTATATAATGATGGTTTGCTTTATGAAGACTGACTGTAACCCACAGGATAAAATAAGCAAAGGCATAGTTTCTGCTTTCTTCCTGGAAAAACTTGTTTAGAAGCTTCATAAAGAGGTACAGCACTAATGATCATTAGTAAGGATACAGTTGGCATCTATGTTTTTATGTGAGCCCAGAGTGAAGAGGAGCCACTCAAAGTCTTGCTGGCCTAAAACTCAAGACAGCTGCAACCAGAAGTTTTGTTGAAATGGAGACTTTAAACTTATGGTAATTACTCTTTCTGGACACTAGCATGTAGAAAGCAATTCAATTAACTCTGCCCAGAGGATTACCAGCTTTAGCTGTGAAAAAATGGGCTCCCGGATGTAAAATCACTAAAACATGAGTAATTGTATCCAAAGAGGCTTCAGATGATGCCTTACAGAAAATGATGCTCCAGATGGGCACTTCTAAATGCTAACTCTTCATCAAGTATCTTTCTGGATTCAAGCTCAAAATTAATTGGCTGCAAAATAGTAGGAATAAAAAATTTTACACTTTAGAAAAAGATACTGATGATCAACCTGCATGGTAATAATTATAATGAGATACCCCAGTGATTTAATGATGTTAGAAAGAATTAAATGGGAGAGAAATGCTAACAACTTTATCTCTTAACTATGGAGATGTCATTCATTTATTTCTGGGGCGAAAATTATAGCTTGCTTTTTGAC